TCCTTTGCAAATGTTTGCCCTTAAGTCCACCAGCTTGAAGGTTTGAATTTTGAACTTAGTCCGAGGTTGTGTTTGGGAGGACATCCTTGGGCTTTGTAGCAATAGAGGGAGGTTGGATCCAACTTCTTCACAACATAACTCAATTGCATCCCTTGAGATGTTGTGATCAAGAATTTACTTCCTGGGCTGATTACTAGAACATTCATCTTAACATCCATGTTGGTCTTCAAATATTGAGAGATTGTCAATATTGAGTCTAGAATATATGTGCTTCCTAACAAATAAATGTTTAAAATTAATAAAGATATGCTTCAAGTATTACTAAGCGATTATTTTAGAAAATTAGCACTATGATAATAAATGAATTAATAAAATGGTGCTTTTAAAGAATAAGTTGAGGTATAAAACGCCTAATGTAGTCGTAGAAGTATAATTACTTATAATTAATTTAATCACATTACATACAAGTGTTACGTATGAAATTTTGATAAAAAAAAACTTAGTGGCTCAGGGCCAAAATAGTTCTTAAACAACAATTATGGCTCTCTTCTTAAATAAGTAACATAGGTGAAGAAAAAGGAGCTCCGATGGCCAAACTTTCTCTAAATACAATTATGACTAAAATATAATTTTAATTAGGTAATTTGATACTTAAATAAGTAAATAATGAGTAGAAAATGCTAACTGAACCTCACTAATTTTGAAGAGTAATGTGGAGAAGCTTTCCTAAATTCAAAAGTTTATAAACTCGATCTAATTAAGCAATAAATAAACCATTGGTTTTAAATTTCTAAAATAAATTCTAATATAAGCATTACAAGGTATTTTCAAGCTTTGTTCTAGTTAAAGCATTACAAAGTATTTTCAAGCATTACTTTAATTGTTTTTATTATCTTATGTTGAAATTACGAAACTGTGATATTTGTAAGTATATAAACTGTGGGTTAAAACCTGAACTTCTAGATTTAAGATAGAGATACCAGGACTATATTGGTGGTCTGGAATAGAGACTAGAGGAAATATCCTATAGCCTTAAATATGGTTTTTGTCTTCATAATTTATTATTATTTTTATTTATAGTTCTTGTAAATATTTGTTTATTATTTCATTTCTAATTTTTTATAATGTTTCTAAAATAGTTCTTATTGTCAATTCTTGTTTAAAAAATTATATTTGACAAATCAAATACATATTATATTCGATATATTCACTTTATTATTGTCATGTAGATAAGTTATGTACTATCTGTACCGCTATGCCGAGCTCGAGCTCGACATCCCAGCATAAGACGATCTTGGATACGCACTATGTGACGTCAGCTCGTCACCCAAATAGATCATAACTAATATCGGGCCCAAGGCCCAAGAAAACCCTAATCCATACAAAAGTACGTGCATTACTTAAACGAGATTCATATTCACACAAACCCTAACTTTAGCATCAGAGTCTCTTTTGCAGGTACCACCCCCACCTTGGAGCATCAAGCGTACCAGTGAAGGAGGCTCACCGATTTTATCCAGCAGATCATCCCTACCACTGATCTTCGGTAAGAACATTTGATGCCCACCGTGGGGCCGATCAAGACAGCTCTTATCGGCCACGCTTATGGTTTTCACCAGAAGCCATAGCAGACGGGCAACAGACGACCTAGATCACGCAACTAGCATGGACAACGAAGCAGCATTGAGAAGGTTGATCGAGCAGGTCGAGCAAATGCGGCAGCAACACACCGCCAATCTGCAAAGCATGCGTGCCAAGCACGAAACTGACCTAGCAGCGATGCGAATCGCTAACGAAGCTGACCTACCGGCCCTGCGCACTGAGAATGAGCGTATCCGCACTTAGCTACCACGACGCACCTATGATCACCCCCCTCAACCGAGTAATCTAAACGAGGAAGAGAGGCACTCGGTTTCTCATCCACCGACAGCACCTAGGGCACAGACTCTCAAGCCTGCCACACATCGGTCACACGCGCCGACGAACAGGTCAGCCCATGAGGTCAACAATGCCCCTGCACACATCACGGGGAATCAAGCGACCTTCTATTGTCATCCTTTTATGGATGGCATTATGGAAACGCCCCTCCCCTTTGGATGGAAGCCTCTCCACATCGACCATTACGACGACACGACGGATCTGGGCGAGCACATCGACCTCTATACTACACAGGTAAACCTTTACACTAATGAGGATGCTATTATGTGTAGGGTCTTTCCGACCTTGCTCAAAGGGGCCGCCCTCAACTGGTACACCCAGCTACCTGCCGAGTCAATTGACAGCTTCGGCACTCTGGTCAGATGATTCACGGCGCAGTATGTAACGAGTCGACCTCACCACTGCAGAAATTCATGGAACGCTTTGCTGGCATCTCAGTGAAGATTCCCAATTTGAATCCCGAGGTCGCCCTACACGCCATGCTCATGGCGCTCAAGCCGGGATCGTTTGTCGACAGCCTATGCCGAGAAGCCCCTCGCGACATGGACGAGCTCTAGGCTCGTGCTGCTGGCTACATCCAGATGGAAGAGCACTCCGCCTTTCGTGACCAGGTTCGCGGCAAGTCACTGATGAAGCCAGAACAGGGCCACAAGGACAAGATCAAGGTCAACAATGACAGCCAGTTCAAGAAGTCAGCTAGGGCAAACAAAGGAGGGAGATATGACTTCTACACTCCCCTGAATATGCCCCGAGTACACATCCTGGAGGAGGCCAGTAATAGCAACCTGCTCACCCTGCCACCACCAGGGCACACTCCCAATAGCGCAGACAAGTCCAAGCACTGCCGATACCACAGAAACCACGGTCACACTACTGAAGAGTGTCCCACACTCCGAGACCGTATTGAGGAACTCATCCAAGCAGGTCACCTCGACCAATACGTTCAACGACAACAGGGTCACCGAGGAGAATACAACGGACGAGGGCGAGGTAGAGGTCGTGGGTCAGGAGCCCGCGCAGACCAATCCTTCAGATCTCAGCAAAACACCGGTGGCGCAGTGCAGGCCGAGGTAAGCCAGGAAACAAGGTCGGCCCCCTTGCGGGGCATCATCAACACAATTGCAGGTGGCTTCGCGAGGAGAGGCCCTAGCAGCTCGGCGCGGAAGTGACATTTGTGCAGCATCAACAATGTCCACTCCGCCACCTCGACCTCGCATCAAAGCTCGCCGCCCATCACCTTCACTGACGACGACTACGTTGGCGTCAGCCCCAAACAGGACGATCCGATGGTCATCGCCGTGGAGGTCGCCAATTGGGAGGTCCACAAGACGTTGATCGACCAAGGGAGCTCGGCTGACGTCCTCTATTGGCCGACTTTCCTCAGGTTAGATATCCCCCATTCTCTTATCCAACCTCAGACAGAACCCCTAGTCGGTTTTGCAGGAGAGCGAGTACACACTCGGGGATACGTGGACCTGCTGACAACTTTCGGAACCTCTCCTGCCACAAGGAGAATTATGGTCCGATACCTCCTCGTAGAAGCTAACACGTCCTACAACATTATTACCAGTGCTACGCCGAGAGTGAAAATCTCTCCGTCCAGCGAGCGTTGCAAGAATGATCCACCCACAGTTGCTCACATCACCCACGTGGATATCACTGACCTCGATCCAACGTCTGACTCCCATGATGAACGACCAAGTCCCATTGACGAGCTCGACGACCTCCAGATCGGGAAGCTCCTTGGGCAGTGCACGAAAATCAGCAAGTAGCTGATCTTGGAGTTGCGGCAACAACTTGAAATAGAGATTTCCAAGAATGTTGACCTCTTTTCATGGTCCAGCGCCGACATGCTAGGTATAGATGCTGACTTCATCTGTCACAGGTTGGCAATCCACAAGGAGGCAAAGCCTGTAGCCCAGAGGAAACGGAAGGTCGGTGGAGAAAGGCGGGAGGCCATCATCACCAAGACGCATAAGTTACTGAATGCCGGCTTCATCCGTGAAGTCAGATACACCACTTGGCTGGCAAACATGGTGTTGGTAAAAAAGAGCTCGAGGAAGTGGCGCATGTGCGTCGACTACACCGAACTAAACCAAGCATGCCCCAAGGACTCGTACCCCTTGCCGAGCATCGACAGGCTGGTCAACGAAGCATTCGGGCACGCCTTCCTCAGTTTCCTTGATGCTTACTCTGGATACAACCAGATTATGATGTACCCACCAGACAAAGTGCACACATCATTCATCACCGATCATGTCAACTACTGCTACCGAGTGATGCCCTTCGGTCTTAAGAACGCAGGGGCCACTTACCAGCGACTGATGGACAAGGTTTTCCACTAGAAGATCGGGAGGAACATGGAGGTCTACGTTGACGACATGGTGGTCAAAATCACCTCGGCCGACGGTCATGCTGCCGACCTTGCCGAGGTGTTCAGCTAGATCAAGAGACACAACATGCGTCTTAACCCAGAAAAATGCGTCTTCAGCATCTAAGGAGGTAAGTTCCTCGGATTCATGATCACTAACAGGGGAATCGAGGCCAACCCGGAGAAGTGCAAAGCCATCATCCAGATGCAGAGCCCTTGAACTGTGAAGGAAGTCCAACGCTTGGCGGGAAGGTTGGTTTCCTTGTCCCGTTTTATCCCCAGGCTGGCAAAGAGAGCAGGGCCCATCTTCACCCTCCTGCGTAAGCCACAAAATTTTGAATGGACGGACCGGTGCGAAGAGGCTTGCAAAAGCTTCAAAGCCTTCCTCACAACCTCACCCATCTTACAAAGGCCGGATCACAAAACTGACCTCCTCCTCTACTTGGCCGTAGCTGAAAGCGCTATCAGCCCAGTTATAGTACAAGAGCACCAGAAAGTGCAAACACCAATCTACTTCATCAGCCGAGTACTCCAGGACACGGAGAAACGGTACCAGATGATCGAGAAACTGGCATTGGCACTTGTTACCTCAGCTCGGCGCCTCCGACCTTATTTCCAGAGTCACCAAGTGATAATCAAGACTGACTACCCAATCAAGCAAATCCTGCGAAAGCCAGAACTCGCCGGGTGAATGATAGCATGGTCGGTCGAATTGTCCGAGTTTGGCATCCAGTATGAAAGTCGCGGCGCTTTGAAAGCTCAGTGTTTAGCTGACTTCGTGGCCGAGCTTACACCAACCTCGGTTGAGGAAACACAGGTATGGACTTTGTATGTTGATGGGTCCTCCAATTCTAAGGGTGGTGGTGTAGGTATCATTTTGGAAGGACCGAATCGAGTCACTTTGGAGCAGTCCCTCAAGTTCGGTTTCAAGGTGACGAACAACCAAGCAGAGTACAAGGCACTTCTCGCAGGGCTAAGGTTAGCTCGTGATCTTGGAGCACGGAAAGTGAGTTGCAATAGCGACTCAAAACTCATGGTGGAACAGCTCAGTGGGGCATACCAGACCAAGGACACTCTACTGCAAAGGTATTTTCACCTAGCCACCCAACGAATCTCTTCTTTCGATGAGTTAAAAATGCACCATGTACCCCGGGAGCAAAATGCAAGAGCCGACCTCCTATCCAAGCTCGCTAGCATAAAGCGTCCCGGACAACACCGGACCATCATCCAGGAGACCTTACATTCACCCAGCCTGGACGATAAGGTCGTCTGCACCGGCGACAGTAAAGAGCAAGGGTGGACGACAGGTATTTGGAACTATTTGAAGGCAGGAGTTCTACCCGAGGACAAAGATGAAGCTCGGAAGATGAGGGTAAAGTCGGCTAAGTTCGTCATTGTTGGAGACGAACTGTTCAAACATGGAATCTCCACCCCTTTGCTCAAGTGCTTGACTACACCTCAAGCCGCGTATGTCATCGAGGAGATCCACCGAGGCATCTGTGGCATGCATTCCGGAGCACGCTCAATGGCAGCCAGAGTGCTCCAAGCTGGTTACTACTGGCCTACCCTGAAGTCGGATTGCCAGGCCTACGTACAGAAATGCAAAGAGTGCCAACAGTTCGGCAACACACGTCGGTAGCCACCCGAAGCTCTCCACCAGATGATGTCTCCGTGGCCTTTTGCCTAGTGGGGAATGGACATCTTGGGACCGTTTCCCCCCGCGAAAGGTCAACTCAAATTTCTCCTGGTGGCCATTGATTATTTCACCAAGTGGATCGAAGTATGCCCACTCGCCAAGATCACCACCGACAATGTCCAAAAATTCACTTGGAAAAACATCATATGCAGATTCGGCATCCCTCATTCCCTCATCACCGATAACGGCATGCAGTTCATCGCACAAAGCTTTGACGACTTCCTCCGAGAGCTCGGTATCAAACACCTTCCAACCTCGGTGGAACACCCCCAGACTAATGGCCAGGCTGAAGCTGCTAACAAGGTCATCCTCCGAGAACTTAAGAAGCGGCTAGGGAACGCTAAAGGACAATGGGCCGACGAACTCCCTAGCATCCTTTGGGCATATCATTGCACCCCCTAGTCAACAACGCAAGAAATGCCTTACAGGCTGACTTACGGAGCTGACGCAATGATCCTAGTGGAAATCGGAGAAACATCTCGTCGGCGCCAGGTCTTCAATAGCGAGCAGAATGCTCAAGAGTTGGCGGCTGACCTCGACTTGATTGATGAGCTCAGAGATGAAGCTCGGATCCATGAAGAAGCTTGCAAACTCCGAGCTTCTAGAAGGAGAGTGCGACCTCACTCTTTTCTAGTTGGTGACTTAGTGTGGCGTCTATTAGGCGATGCACGAAAAGACCCGTCAAAAGGAAAGCTCGCACCCAACTAGGGTGGCCCTTTTCGAGTTGCAGAAGACTTAGAAAATGGGGCTTACAGGCTGGAAGAACTCAGCAGTAAAGCTATCCCACGGACTTGGAATGCCACGCATCTCAAGTTTTATTTCAGCTAAATTTATACGAATGAGCTTTGCACTCTTTTCTCGCCTCAGTCTTTTGTCCCAAAAAATAGAAAAATGGGTTTTGGCTGAGAGGGTTTTTAATGAGGCACATATACAGAATTAATAAAGTAACTCATTCTTTTCATTCATATTCTCCTAGCTTTACATTATTTTACCATAAAATGTCTTATGCTAAGCCAAGGTCGAGTTCGAACCTTGACACAACATATTTTACTTTACGCCGAGGTCGAATTCGAACCTTGGTCCGACTTATCTCGCTATTAATCAAGGTCGAGTACGAACCCTGAATACGTTTCGCTTAAATCCAAGGTCGAGTCCGAACCTTGATATTATTCATATCACACTCAAGGTCGAGTTCGAACCTCCATACGACTCATTCTACTTCAGCCCAAGGTCGAGTTCGAACCTCGGTATGCTCAACTCAAGGTCGAGATTGAACCTCGATGTGATCCAATCAAGGTCGAGTTCGAACCTTCATACGATTCATTCTACTCTAATCCGAGGTCGAGCTCGAACCTTGGCATGATCCACTCAAGGTCGAGTTCGAACCTTAGTATAATCAACTCGAGATCGAGTTCGAACCTTGGTATAATCAACTCAAGGTCGAGCTCGAACCTTAGTATGATCCATTCGAGGTCAAGTTTGAACCTCACTGCGAAACATCTTAATTTTGTCCAAGGTCAAATTTGAACCTTGGAACAAATCACTTTGCTCTAAATCGGGTCTAGGCGCCACAAAGTACAAAAATACACAGCGAATGCTGAACGTGTTTTCCAAATCGCGCAAACAAGAAAAATCAAGCCTAAAGCGCAATGACAAACAACCAAAAAATATATACACAACAATGTTTACAGAGTTCAACACATGAATTCAAAGAGAAAAATCAAGCAGAAAAAAATAAACTAAGCCATTAAAAAAGCGGCCTAGGCAGAGGCGTTTTCACTTGAGTTGTCCTCGAGGTCGTCCTCCCTCACCAGCTTTCCAAAGTGAACCTCCTTCTCCACATGCATGGCGGAGAAGTCGAACCCCGGTGCAAGAAGCCTCGCCTGGCGAGCTGCCTTGAGGAATCCCTTCTTGTGCTCAAACATGGCAGCCCGCTCAGTTTCCTCGAGCTTCCTCTCCAGCCCTGCCTTCGTCTCCTCCAGCTTTGCGAGGTCCACCTTCAAAGCAGCATTCTCCTCTGCTTGGCCGCCGAGAAGCACCTCATCACAAAGACGCTTCTCTGCCGTCGCCACCAACTCGGCCTTCTGCGCGGTGACCTCATCCTCCAAAGAGCGCACCTGAATTCGGGAAGAGTTGGCGAGCTCCTGCAACTCTCGGACCTGGGCAACGTAGGTCTCATTAGACCTCAGAGCAATCTCCAAAGACTTCTGGACCCTCTCCAACTCCCTCCTGGTAGCCTGGAGCTCGGCCTCGTTCTGCAGCTTGGCATCCCCTAGAGCACCTGCCAGGGCCCGATTTTCATCCCTCAAAGCCTTGGCCTCTTCCTCCAAAGGTTGAACCTGGCCCTTCAGCTTCGCCAAGTCCTCCTGCTGCTTGGACCACTTGTGCTTCCAGTAATCCACGATTGCCATGCCCCTCTACAGGAAGACCTCGACAGAATCAAGGCCCTCAACCAGCCCGATCGTCTCGATCATGGCCCGATCAGCCGAACTCAACGAACCTTTAGGGAAGAACTTCTCCGAAGACACTCCCACACTCCACAAAGATTCGATGTCCTCCGACATGCTCACGTGGTCCAATCCCTTCAGGGAGCGACCTTTCCCGAAATGGCTGGCAAGGTACTAACTCTTGGAGGCCCCCTTTGACGAGCCAGCTGGCAGCGCCGACGCCGTAGGAGTGGACATTGGGACCTCGAAGCTCGGCCCCTTGCCGCGAGCCTCAGCAGAAGCCGTAGCTGGCGTCCCCTACTCGGCAACAGGGGCGCCCACCCCTAGCGCCTCCAAGCTCGGAGGCACCGGGATCTCAGCAGCTGTCCCCGCCTGCAAAAGACGATACTAAGTCAGAAAGCCAAGAAGAGCAGGTATAAAAAGAAAGCCACAAGGCAAGGCACCAACCTCGGCGGCCTGGACGACCTGCTCGGCAGCGGGGGCAACCTCCTCGGCGTTGACTGGGGGAGCTCCGTCAGGCGGCGGACTCCCTGTAAGGTCGACCGCGTCGGCATCAGTAGCCTTGGGGGTCACCTCCTCGGCCTCTCGAGGGGTGGAGGTCCCCCCGACCTCTTTTTCCCCCCTCTTTCTTTTCCTGTGAGTCTTCAGGGGGGCCACCTCCTCCTCTTGAGGCTCTGGGACCTCAATCTCGGCGATGTTGTAGCGGTGCTTCAACTCACGCCACTTGTTCTTACCCATTATGCATGCGAACACAAGAAATCAGACACATCAGTAACAAGAAAATCCTACAAACCCTAAAAAGAAAGACGAGATACTCACTCTCTAAGCCCCTCTCCTTGTACGTCGAGTTGGCAAGCGATAAGACGAGCTTGCAATCTAGCGGACGAGGGAGTGCTTCAAGATTTGCAATGGCTTTGGCATCCGAGGCCGACAATTGCAACTCCCCCACTCCGTGAAACCTAGCCGGGACCGGCCGCCAGTAGAGAGGGAACTTCGGCAACCCACCGAAATAGAATGCCCCATCCCCTAACGGGTTGACATCCACAAGCGCCACCCGGAAGAATTCATGTTTAAAATTTTTATAGGATTGGGAGTAAAGGGAAAATAGACCCCCAGACTTACTCCCACTCAGAGACATCAAGCCATAGGGAGGAACACTCATTTTCAACTGGTAAAAATGAAGAAAAACGGGCAGAGACACCTCTATCCCCAAGGCCGAGCACAGGACTTGGAAAGCCCTCAAAAAACCCCAACTATTGGGGTGCAACTGGCAAAGAGCCGAGTTGATGAAATTCAAAAAGTCACACTCAAATTGAGTGAAAGGAAGACAAACACCCAAATCCCTAAAAAGACACTAATATACATAGAAATGGGGAGGGTCAGAAGAACTCCCCATGTACACACGCTCACCGGCCTGACAGGGTTCAAGCCGGATCAACTAGGAGATGGAAGGGTCACAGATTCTATGCGATTTCCAAATCGCATTGATTTCCATGAATGACCTAAACACACTCGGGCACTCCCCCACGTCACGCCTGACCCAGTCGTTGCCAGGAACACCGGGGACAAGATCTTTAGGCGGGTTATCCGCCTTTTTCTTTTCGGCGGCGGCCGTTCCGGTAGCCACCGCCTTGTCGCGCGCCTTACCCTTGCCCTTGGCAGGTGCAGAAGAAGCGGCACCACTGTTACCAGCCATCAAGAAATGGGAGAGATTTTAGAAGAATGAGAAGTCAAAGAAATAGAAGTACCTGGTACTCCCTGGACAAAGGAAGAACAAAAATCGAGGAATGAAAGCCCGGTTGCCGGAGAAGGCGACGGAGAAGAATGGAACCAAGAAAGGCGAAGACAGGGAACAGAGCAGAGAAACGAAGAGGCGTCAAGAACATGACAAAGGAAAAGAGTAAAGTGAGAGGGGAAAAGGCGCGAGAGAGAGAAAAGAAACCTCCAAAATTCAAAACGGTCAGGACACATGTCGGCCAGGGAACACAACTGACGACACATTTAATGAGGCTCCATCATGAGGAGGCACTACCATCATTGCGTAATCGTCATCCCCATTAACGCGCCACCCACGCGTTTCAAAACCTGAAACAACCGTTGTGACACATGGCATCCTGACAGGCAGACGTACGCGAAAGGTCACGGCCCCCTGACAAGCTCGGTCTTAACTCCTCGACCTACGATCTTCGAAGCTCGGGGGGCTAGTGTATTATCCGTACTACTATGTCGAGCTCGAGCTCGGCATCCCAGCATAAGACGACCTCAGATACGCGCTATGTGATGTCATCTCGTCACCCAAATAGATCATAATTGATCTCGGGCCCAAGGCCCAAGAAAACCCTAATTCATACAAAGGTACGTGCATTACTTATACGAGATTCATATTCACAGCGCATAACGACCTCGGACATGCGCTGGGCGATCTCGGTCTAGGTGAGATCCGCTATCTGATCAGATCATAACTGATCTTGGGCCCAAGGCCCAACACAACCCTAATTCACACCAAGGTACGTGCATTATTTATACGAGACTCACAGTCATACAAACCCTAACTTTAGCATCGGAGTCTCTTTTGCAGGTACCACCCCCATCTTGGAGCATCAAGCGTACCAGTGAAGGAGGCTCACCGATCTTACCCAGCAGATCATCCCTACCACTGATCTCCGATAAGAACAAGTTAATTTTTAATTTTTTAGACAAAATTTTAAAACACACTTCACTAATTCCACTTCATCATATTTTTCATGTGCATCTTATTTGGGTCGTGGAATGTCACGTCCTAGCTATCGTTGATGGTGGAACTAGACTACTAGCCTCCTTTCTCTAATAATGTGTCTCACTCATCACTGTTGTGGTCGTCATGGTAGGTGACAATGATCTTGGTGGTCTTAAGTCAACTGACATAGTTCTTCTTAGCCTTGGAGAAGGCAACATTTGCAGTGATCACTAGCACAA